AAACATTGTTTCAGGTAGAGGAAATAGAAAAAGTAAAAGAAAGGGCTTGGAGTGTTGACAAAAAAAAAAAAAAAAAAAAAAAAAAAGAGAACAGATGAGAGAACTTAGGAGCAGCTTTGCCTTGAGACTGAGAGGAAGAGAGCAGAGCTATGGAGGCAGCGGACGTTCGCTTACACAAGGAGAGTTGGGTGGTTGTCACAGAGCCGGGGGTGGGGGCCTTCGCCTGGAATCGCACCTGCTCCCTCAGCCACCTTCTCCTCTTCTTCCCACCAGGTGAGTCCATCCATCACTTCCAACCCCGGAGTCTTCCCTGCATCACTTATTCCCTCTGTATTCCCAACCTCTCTCTCTGCTGGCTTTGCTACCACACTCAAAACACTTTGTGTTTAAAATCAAACAAAACAGAAACAGAAAAGAAAACCAAGCAAACAATACTCTCCTAATCTGAAACCCACTTTCAGGGTCTTTTCCCCTTTCTTTCCTCCTAAACCAAGGTTTACACATTCATCACACAGTCATTACACGTTAATCTACATTCAGGGGCTCTACCTCCTCACCTCCCGCCGATCCCTCAAATACAGGTAAATTCATTTCTTGCCCCTCTCTCTACCTGACTGCTCTCACCAGTCCCCAAATGGCCTCTTTGCTGCTACACCCCCTGACCATGACCTCATTCCCACCTTCCCAGGCAGCATTTGTTCATCCCTCCCGACCCCAGCTTCTGGGGCACTGCTTCTCCTGGTCTCCCTCCGACCTCCCAGGACACTCCTCTCAGACTCCCCTTGGGGTTGTGGGCTGCCATTCCACCTCTCTACCCCCCTCCCTGGGCACTCGCTTCCCAACCCTGTAACCCCCAAGATTTGGTTTAGAGGCCTCTCTTACATGCTCTGTTAGCCTGGTGCTCCCAATATGGAACACAACCTGTTTTGTTACTCAGTGCTTAACTGTCCACCTTCCGAGCTGGCCTGTAAGCTCCTAAGGCGAGAGCCATGTCCGTCCTGCTCACGCTGAGGCCCCACTACTGTGCACAGAGCCAGGCAGTTACAAGCAGTACTGGCTACAGAATTTCTAGGGTCCGGGCCAAATAAAAATGCAGGCCCTCCTGTTCAAAAATTAATGAGAATTTCAAGACTGTGACAGCAGAACATTAAGGCAAATGTGGCGGCCCGCACAGGTCACAGCCCCACGAAGCGGGCCCTGACTGTGCGCACTTAATATTTACTGGATGAATCGATGGCTTCAACCATGACACATGCCGATGATTCCAAATAGCCTTTCCGGCCCACACGTTTCTGCTGTGCTCCAGCCTGGAACAGCCAACTGCCAACAAATATTCACTTGGATACTCACCGGCATCTCAGACTCCACGTGTTTCAGACTTAATGATCCTGCCCCACCACACCCCAAAATCTGTCCTTCCAGCAGTCCCTGTCTCAGGGAACAGCATCCCTTTCCACCGGGGGGCGGGGGGGTATTCCAGAAGCCATCTCACTTTTCTCCCTCTACACATCCAAACAGGCAGCAATCCCGTAGAGTTTATCCCCTCAGTAGCATGAGAATCTGTCCCTTTCCTTGGTTTCTTCTGTTAGTGCCTGGCTTCAGGCCGCATCAGAGCTTGTCTGCCTGACTCAGGAGCTCTGCTCCCCAGGGGCACCAAGATGATTTAAAAGCATTACTAGCAGCACGTCAGATCCCCTACTGCAAGCCCCTAGGTGCCTTCCCAGCATTTCCACTTTCCTTCATTATCTGGGTTTTGCCTATATCTCTGGTTTCAGTCTCACACTTGCTATTCCTTGCACTCTGCCTCTCCCTTCTTCTGGCCAACTGATTCCTCTCTGAGAGTCAGCCCAGGAGAATGCCCTCCTGGTCTACCTTCGATGCCCTTTCTCTGTGACCCCGTGGGGTCACGAGTCTGGTGTACCACAGCCCTTACCAGTCTCACTGAGATGGCTGGCCTCTGTGGCTGTCTCTAACTACCTGAGGATGTCTTCTGGGCAGAGCCTAAGCCCTGGTTTCTGAATCTCCAGCACTCAGTGTGTGGCCTGTGACAGACACGAAATAACTATTTGCTGAGGGATCAGCGACTAAATGGATGAAGAGTGAACTAGACTTGGGTGGATGAACAGACGTGTCCAGAAGCGAAGGCCCCAAATAAGACTTCTCTTAATAACATGATCTGTAACTGTCTGTCTACCGCCTGAGCCCTCAAAAACCCACATGCCTTTTCATTGGTTTTACAAAAAGACAATGGACCTAAAAGGATGTTGTTCTGGCTGAATCAAAACTGAAAAGTGACTCAAAAGATAAGGGAAAACAAGGCAGGGCCCCTGTCCTTAGTGGGCAGGGGAGGGAGAATGCAGCCACCACTATGTTTACTCTGTTTTTTCATTTCAAACTCGTACACAACGAGGTATCAGCATTCAACTCCAATGTTCACTGCTGGGGTAACCCTACCTAATTACTTTCATAAATAGATCATTATATCTAAATCCACTTATGTACAGAACATTCTTCACTTCTGTTTGAACTACCGAGTTTTTCCTTTATGAGACACCCATGGATTAAAGAATGACAGCAAGTCTGGCAGCCAAACTTTCCAGTCCCTGCATCATGATGCCTCTTCCTATGCGATTCCCGGCTTCCTTTTGATCTCTCTCCCTTTCATCCCTCTGATCTAGGGATCAATTTGTCAGAGAGCTGGTCTCCAATCTGGAGTAGGGCAGTGAAAGGGGTTTCAAAGGGAACAGAGTGCATGTGAAGGCTGACAAATCCTGTACTAAACAACCAATAAAGTAGAGAAATGCCTTTAAAGCTACATTCTCTCATCACAGGATCCTTACAGACTTCATATCTTCTA